GTGCACATCATATGCATTCTCCACTTTTGACCTTTGCTCATGTTTTGAGAAACCTACCACAAGCCAACTAGTATCTTTTATTCGGTCAAAAGTAGCTATAAATAGCTACTACCACACCTTTTGAGCAAAAAGCCGATGTAACCGGTCATAACAGCTATTTTGTTGAATTTGGAAAAACGTTTGTCTACAAGTAAAAGCGATAGATTCAGTTTTCTCCCCTCGGCTGTTGATGTATTTATGTAGTAAAATTTTAGACAGTGGAGGAATAATAGGAGAACTGTTTGGCAATCCGCAGTCGAAGTCCGATGCACCGTTTTATGGCTCGTACCGAACGAAACTATGGCAATGTTCGTCAACATTGCAACTCAATTTTGTGGGCAGACGATGAATTTGTCGATCGTGGTATGCCGGAAACATCTCGAAATTCATCACTGTCGAACTCCTTTTCACGACAACCAACATGCTCAAATTTAGTGAATGAGAGCTCTGCTATGTCCGAAATGGAAGGCGCGCGGCAACAGAAAAATTCGACCACAACAATTCCATATTACTAATTGCCATACCGGCATGTTATATGTTTGTTTGGTTGATAATAGGAGTTTTATGTTTTATCACACTTCTTAAATTCTAAATGAGTTGATTGTTAATTATTTATTTTTGCAGCGACGATGTAATATATGAACCCGATTTAATCCAGTTGCTTCTGTAAGTATAGCGGATGCTCATTTGTCTAAATTCACTCATTTATTTTAGTCAAATAAATAATTACAAGTGAGTATCCCGTGGGATGCACGGAGGAGCATGTTCCTTAAAACATTTTTTAAGACTTTATTTTAAATATAATTCTTTATATTTAAACATTCTCTTAATGAAATTAAATTATGTATATTTTTATAATAGATTATTATTTTAATATGACTAATGTAAAAAGAATATGACACATCATATAGAAATTGATACGCACCACATAATATTTTTTAAATTAAGATTTTTAAGCTATAAGATATTAGTAAAAACATAACCTAAATAAAATATATTTTTTTCTATAGATTAAAATAATCTTAGTCCAACATTATAGGTTAATTTTAAATTCTTTTTTACATATTCGAATTAATATATTATATGCAACAATAAAATTGTAGTCAATTCTGGGAAAAAATAAATTGATTATACAAATTGAATTCCTACATAGTTATCTTAGATTATTTACAACGTAAGATTCTATTTAATGTTGGAAAGAAAAATAATATAATTAATTTTGTGCCAATTTGGGAACCATTACGGCTATGTTTGGTAAAACTAACTGATAAGCTAGCTTATAGCTTATATGTCATTTTCGAGCTTATAGTTTATAGCTTATGACTTATAGCTGAAAAACTAACTTATTTGATAAAAGTGTTTGGTAAAATTAGCTGATAAGCTAGCTGAAATAAAAAATTCAACTAGTTTATTTGAAAAGCTACCTAAAGTAGCTTATGAGATAAGCTCGAACTTTTTAAGAAAACTCGTCCTACCAAACGAGACTTATTTAAATAAAAGAAGCTTATAAGCTAATCAAATAAGCTATAAGCTAGCTTATTGACTTGCCAAACATAGCCTACGTGATTTTAGGATCAATTAGATGTATTACTATCAAATAAGTATTGGAAGAAACTGTATGCATATTTTTATGCCGATTTTGCATAATTTTAGGAAGATTACTGTTTTGCCGGAATTTTAAAATTTCATAGGATATTGTATTCATAATCGCTTTCTAAAGAAAAGGAAGTGAAATCTATTACTATAATGGATTTGGCAAAAAAATAAGGAAGTAGAATAATAAAATCTATTACCATATAAAACGTTAGCCAAATATTTCAAATAAAATTTAAGGGAGAAAATAACCATTTGAGCGAAAAAATAAAATTAATTTTATGTTTTTTTCAAAAAAAAAATTCTTAACTGTATTATATAGTAATAGATTACTAACACCAAATTCGCATGGTCTCTCATTGGCTGCCCAACAACATATTGAAGACTACTCCACCCTGTTTNTTGTGGCAATGGATTTATATTAATATGATTTTTTTTTTTTAGTTGTAGACACAGAGAAGTAAAAACAAGGGCAGAGGATAAAATTGTTTGCATGCAAGATTAAAAAAAAGAACACGCTCAGGAATTTAGCATGCGAACAAAGGTCCATGTGATGAAAAACAAAAAGATCTTGCAGATGGGATCCATTCTAAAAAAATGTGTGAAAAAATGTAAGGGTAAAATATACAAGACCCCCTTGTATTATACGAAATCTACGCGTTTTTCCCCTGTATTTTAAAAATTACGTCAGACCCCCTTCTAAATTTTGGGTGTTTCGCGCATACAAAACCTTAATAGAAAGGGGTCTGACGCAATTTTTAAAATACAGGAGGAAAACGCGTAGATTTCGTTTAATACAAGGGGATTTGGTGCATTAAACCCAAAAATGTAATATGAAAATCTGTTTTTATCCTGTTCAAATAATCAAGTAGGGCCCACGTGATAAGCGTTCCCCTAACAAAACTTGTTTTGTATCCAAACCCCTAACAAAACTTGTTTTGTATCCAAACACCTAATTGAAATATGTTCATCTCAAACTGTCCCAAAATAACTCACTTTTTCCAACTAAGAAAACGGAAATATTTTGTATGCAAACACACCCCTAAATGCGCCAACATTCAACATAAAACTCAAATAATACATTCACATAAGACCTAACACTTCCTTTTATGTAGTGACAATGTAACAAAGGATACGAACCCGTGCAACAAACAAAACTACCAAGTTGAACCTAATGCAACAAACACAATTTAGGCCGTCTTCCATCATCTGAATTGTCACGAAACGAGTGCATACATATACGCAGTAGCTTTCAACACTAAAAACATAAAATTCCATACACAAGCTTGTAGCATGCTCAACAAGCCACAATAAAGATGCTCCTAATTGAATCGAAATGCAAAAGTTTTGGCGTTGACGAGGATAACCTTATGGTTCCAATAATATCAATCGATGCTTTCACAAAAGCCAAAACCAATCAAAGCAAAATAACCTCATCATAAATCCAAGACATTGCCATACCGTTTTAAAATGAAAAGCAGAGAACATGACGGAACACAATAAAGTAGCTTACTCAACGGTCTAAATTCAAACTCGTCATGCCTATATAGACAATCTAACAAGCATAGAAGTTGCTTAATAGCCACTGTTTTCGCCGAAACCACCACCACCAAAACCGCCACCACTGTTGAAGTTACGAGGTGGTCTCTCCGTGGCATAACTCACACGGATGTTCCTCCCATTCAATTCCTGCATATAGGAATTTGAGAACAAAGTTCTAAAGGAACAAGTTATTGAAGCATTATTGAAATAAGATGACTTGGTTTTTGTAGCACTACCTGCCCATCCATGGCTGACAGTGCTGAGCTGGCAGATTCATCACTGGAGAAGCTCACAAAGCCAAATCCTCTGGACTTCCCACTGTTTCTATCAGTAACAATTTTTGCTGCAGCAAAAGGTAGGCCGAATATATAATATGAGGGTGAAGCAAGAACAAGCAGCAGACCAAAAACACACTGAAAACAATATAAGCTTCTTGAAAAAAAGGACAAAATTCACATGGAAAACCCAAGGAAGATAGTTATAGCATCCAACAAAATAACATCTCACGCCACGGAAATCTGAGTTGTGCATCGAACACTCGATGCCCATATTTAGAAAAAAACGTTACATTTACATCATGAAACAAGAACCAGAAATGGGGATGATTAGATTCTAAAACACTGCATAAGGACAACTCGGCAAGATCAGTATGTTGCTGAAATCAACTAGTTTCTCAAAGAGTACCAAAATCCATAGNNNNTAGAAGAAGAAGTTTTTCAAATGCAAACAGCTGACAATGATGCATCATCTTTAATCAAACAAAATATACAAAATACTCAACACCAGCAAGATAAACTCCATCTTCAGGATATAAGCAAACAAGACTAAACAAATAAAAAATTATAAGCTAACTTACAAGATAGAAAATGAGTGTTACTTAGTTACACTATCATCAAACATCAGCTACTCACTCATTATGCTTAGGGTAGCTATACAGAGTAGACCAAAAGTTATGAAAAACTCTGAATCCAGTCAAACTGACATTCCCAAGCACTGTAAAACATAGTATATCAACATAGGACCACAAATGCAGTGGGGTGACATCATGGATTTAACTCAGCTCTTCTTCCAAGTCAAAAAGTAATGACAGACCATTATGTTTCATTTTCACTCACCCTCAGTAACATCGCCAAAGCTTGAAAATGCATCTTTCAAGCTCTGGTCATCAGTTCCCCAGGAAAGCCCTGTGAAAAAATATAATGCAAAGTTCCAAAAGAGGTGAAGCGTAAAAACTTACTGTACAAATATGATAAATGGACAGATAATGAGATATAAGAATAAACCTCCAACAAAGAGCTTCGATGACATGCATCTAATAGCATTAAACATAGAGGGTTGTCCATTCATTGTGCTGCTAGCAGATATACTCTGCCTCAACAGGGTTCCAAATTTGTTGTAAAATGCCATTTTTACCCAAGCTGCAGATACAAGTGCTCAATGAAATATCCTTACAATGGTGAAGTATATTGTAACAATAATAATGTCACAACACAAGATTGTAGCATATAAATAAGAATACAAAAAAGAAGTAACATTAAAATATACTGCAAAATTAAGTGCAATAGTCCTTTTTAAACATGCAGTGAAACTCAGATGTCAAAGAGTATTCTTCTTTTACCAAAAACACATACCCACATTCAGATATCATCAAATGAACTCAATGCCATGCTGTAAAACACAGACAATCATAAAAATGAATATGAAACTGAACAAAACTGCTACAGATAAAGGATAATCGTATTTCCATGCAATCATTATTTCTATCCTATGAACTGAATCCATCACCCCTCAAATAGCCTTGTTTCATTCACTTAAACTTTGCATTAAAATAAAAGAAGTTATATTTCTAAACATTATAAAATTATTGGAACACCAATAAAGAACGCCTAGGTAAAAATAATTAAATGGCAGTAGAAAAAAAATTTAATAATTTCAGCCAATTCTTTGGCATATTCTCGTACTCAGGATTAGAATTGCAAGAAGTAAATGAACAAGCTAAAGACCAAAATCAAACACACAGAAAATAAAATGACAGAAAAAAAAGAATGGAAAAATCCACTAACACAGAGAATCGTTCCAAAGAAAGATGAGCAACAAGTAAAAAAAAAAAAGAAGAATGGAAAAATCCACTAACACAGAGAATCGATCCAAAGAAAGATGAGAAACAAAACATTTCAACATTTTTTCACCTTAAGCTTCTATTCTATCCAAGGCTAAGCAACAGAAAATGAAGATATATATTCTAAAGTAAAAACTGGAGACGAAAATGGAAATCTAGAGATCACCTGTTTTTGAAGAGGGAGGAGGAAGGGTTTTACGGAAAAAGGGAAGTTCAAATAAGCGGCTAGGGTTTATGCTCTGCGTAGCCAAGATATATATCTCATTTTGTAGACGCTAAGGCGCATAAATAGAGGCTAATCAGTCAGTGTCCTCGCTCCTCATTCATCTTGAAAAAATATCTGTGTGCGGTTATCTCCATCTATTTTAAAAAGTAATTTTCAGTTAAAACTAGTCTTGAGTTCCGAGCCCAGTTATCAGCTATTCAATCTCAGTTATTAATTTCGGTCCATTTATTTAATTAATGGATTTTATTCAGTCGGAATTGGTTATTCCAGTTGACGAATAATCGAAACCGAGTTTGTTTCGATAAATCGTCCAAGTTTAGCCGTGTCCGGAACCGAGTTGTTCGGTCGCGAGTATCGCGCCTAGTTCGCGCCTAGCCAATTCTCGAGCCCTAGTTGTCTCGAGTCTTGTTCGAGCCCTAGCCATGCTCATAGCCTTACTTAAAATATTTTCTAAGTATGAGATCCTTTTTATCGAGCCACGAGTTCATCTCTAGCCAAGGGTTATCCTCGACTAAACATTTTCCAAGCTCGGGCCATGAGTCGTGCCCTAGTGCCGCACCCTAGCCTCGCGCGAGTCAAGCATGGTGCCCAAGTCATGGCCAAACACTTATGGTATTTTTCTAAGTGTTGTGAGCCTCAATTCAGCCCATAAAATCAGCCCAAGGTCATTTTTCCCGAGCAGGCCAGTTTTCCCGCGCAGCCAGGCCGCGCCCTCGCGCCAGGCCCAGTGCCGCGCCATGCCCAGCAGCCCGCGCCCAGGGCCAGCGCCCAGGCCCAGCGCTGGCAGCGCGACAGCCCAACTTCAAGAGGCCATTTCACATGTTTTTGGCCCAAATCTTTCAGGGACCAAAACCTCCGAATTTTATACACTTGATAAGGATCATTTTGAGCTAAAATGGCCCTAAGGAAGTTAAGCCCAATCCACTTTCAAGTGAGTCCAAATGTGGACATGTGCATGTAATATTTTAATGCATTTGTATTTGGATTTGTCCCCCACTTACCTCAAGGCCGACCAGACCTGCTCTCCCAGCATATTTTAATGCTTGGGTCAGTCAAGATGCCCTGCCACTCCTCCAAGTTCGTGCAAGTCAGCCCAAGGCCCATCACCCTTGTCTCATGTGTGCATGTGATCCCTTTGTCCCCCACCTTTGTGCCTCAATAGCTCCGCCCCTATCCTCATAAAAGGGACACTCCTCAGCATGGATATGACTCTTGGAGACATCAAACACTTAGCAATATTGAGGGAGAAGAGAGAAAACCGAGAGCAAAGTCATTGTCCCTAGCCGTGCGCGTGTTCCCCGGGGAAGAGGAGTGCTCGTGTATAGCTTGTTCCAGCCTAGTTATCTCGAGGCTTATCATTATCCAAGCTTATTTTGGATTTTTCTAAGTCACTTGAAGCTATCCTCCTCAGCCATTCAAGCCCCAAAGTCGAGGTTAAGTTCCTAGTGCCGCAAGATCCCCGAGCAAGGCCCATTTGCACCATTTCGACTTTTGAGCAAGGTTAGCTCATGCCAACCATTTTTCCTAGCTTATTCATGATAAAATAAGAATTATCATGTGTAGAAATGATGCCATGCATGTGAGATATAAGAGATATGAATTTTTGATCATCTAAGCCTTAAATTCGTAAGTTTTTGTACAAGCATGATATGGCCGAGATTAGTATCTTAAAAATCCTCAAATATTATGAGTATATCATGGTTGAAACAGTTTTATGTTTTGAGTTCATTTGTTCGGTCAAGTTGCTATGTGAAATCGAGCCATTTTCACCCCCGAACCTAAGTATATGTGCAAGTATGTTTTAGCCAATGTTCTAGCCTCATTAGCCATGATTTTTGATGTAGTTTATTCGGCCCTAAGTCATTTTACATGTTGAGCATGTTCATTTTTATGCCCTAGGGTGGCCTCGGGCCTAATCGGCCCTATAAGCCCATCTCCAAATCCAACCGAGGTCCCTCAGGGACTTTTGGCATTTTTGAGTATATTATGTCATATTATGTTGGTATGGTTCATTAGTCCCTAGAAAAGTTGAAGGAAGTTTGGAAAAGACCGGCTAGGGTCACTAGCCGCGCCAGTCGCGCGTGCTGTGCCCGTGCCGCGTCCCAGGGGCCAGGCCGTGTCCCTGTCCGTGCCCGCGCCTAGTGCTCGCGAGGCACTGCAGTCCCAGTGCACGAGACAGCACCCAGCAGTGCCTGTCCGTGCCAACCAGCGAGGTCCCAGCGCCAGTCGCGCCAGGGCACCTCGGGCAGCGCATGGCAGCGTTGTCCCAGGGTCAGTGCACGCGTGACCTCGAGCCAGTTGCTCGTGCCACGCAGAGTCGACCTCGGGTCGTGCCAGCAGCGCACCCGAGTGTCCAGGGCCGTGCCTTAGTGACCCTGAGTAAGGTCCAGAGGCCTCGGGATGTGCCCAGCAGCGCGCCCGAGCAGTCAGTGGCCCGGGACGTGCCCAGCAGCACGCCCGCGTGCCCAGGGTTGCCCGGCAGCACCCTGACAGCCCTAGCTCTCGCGCCAGTCGCACTAGGGTCGTGCCAGCCGCACGCCCAGTGCCCAGTCAGCCCGGGTACGCGTCAGTTCCCGCGTCCCTAGTGCTCGGTCGTGCCCAGCAGCGCGCCAGCACACCCAGTGACTCTCGGTCGTGCCCAGTCGCACCTAGTGGCACCAGTAGTGCCAGGGCCCGTGCCAGCCGCACAGCCCGCGCCAGCAGCGCCTAGTACCGAGGCCCGGTCGCACCCAGCTAGTGCCCAGCACCGTGCCATGGCCCCAGCAGGCCCGGCACGGGACCGAGCCCGGCCAGTCCGAGCAGCCCGTGACCAACCGGTCCAGTGTGACCCAGTGGTCCAACCCGGTCCGGTCCAACCCGACCCGGTTTAGCCAGTTAGCGAACCGGCCAGTTTAGCCGGCGGTTCGAGTCCGTTTTGGTTCGTGATTTTCGGTCCGAGTCTTATTCCGAAATTTAAGTATTTTTCCGAGCCAAACCAGATCAGTTAAGCATATCAGTATTATTTCCGGACTTAGAATTATTTTAGAGAACCCATAGAGCGTTCGTTTATATCCGGTTGAGTAATCTGATAGAGTAGAGCATCCTAGCATATTTTTGAGCATATGACGAGCATAGTACTTAGTATATTTGTTTGCTTATATTTTTATGTAGCTTGAGGAGTCAGCTACCAGCACAGCCGCACTTACTCATTTTCAAAACCGATCAGGTGGGGACCCAGTCTGGGTTATACATTGAGTTTAATAGTCGATATCACGTTCAGGTATGTATATGAGTTTTATCCACTTTGGGTTAAGGCCAAGTTTGCCTTCCCTAAGTTCTGGTGGTGGCCCAGTTTGCCCTAGTTATACCACCAGAGTGTGCACACGGTTACCGGCCAGAGTGTTCCGGGAGTTACAGTTTACTTATATATACCAGTGTGTGATATCATTATTAATATTGCTGTTTACTTTAGAATGGGTTTTTATGGAGTACAAGTGGACCGTACTCACCCCCACTTTATATCTTCAGATGGCAGGGTCGGCGGGCAGGCGTGAGTCAAGCTGTGGTGGAGTTGGTCGTGAGTTCCGCACGAAAGCTGTTCCCGGGACATTTGTTTAAACTGTTTGTAAACTAAATAATTCCACGCATTTCAGACTTCCGCTATGCTTGTGTTTATTTTCGAACATGCATGATGCTATTTTCAGACTTAAATAATTTTACCCGGTTCGCCAGTACGAACGGGTCCAGACTAATATGCATGATTCGTAAAAATATAAACCTGAATTCTTTAAGTCTAAACCAGTTGTTAGACCTAGGTTAAAGAAACGGGGTTTTAAGCAGAAAAGTCCTTAGCAGCATCCCGAGATAGTTTGCAAATGATTTCGAAAAATTTATAAGCGTTTTCGAAAGAGTTAAAATTTGCGAAAAATTGGCCCTAGTTAGCGGGGTGTTGCACTAAACTCAGCCATATCATGCATGTACCTAAACTTACGAATTTAGGGCTCATATGATCAAAAATTCATATCTCCTTATATCTCACATGCGTGGCATCATTTCTAGACATGATAATTCTTATTTTATCATGATTAAGCTAGGAAAAATAGAAGTCACGAGCTAACCTTGCTCGAACTCGCGAATGGTGCTAATGGCCTTTGCTCGGGCTCGCGAATGGCCTAGGAGACTAGCCTCGACTTAGGGGCTTGAATGGCTGAGGAGGATAGCTTCAAGAGACTTAGAAAAATCCAAACTATGCTTGGATAATGATAAGCCTCGAGATAACTAGGCTGGAACAAGCTGGACACGAGCACTCCTCTTCCCCGGGGCTCTCGCGTGCGCGGCAAGGCTAGGCACTAGCTCTCGGTTTTTCCCTCAACAAATCTTAAGTGTTGATGATAAAGGAGTGTCCAAGAGTTGGGACAATGATGAGGAAGTCCCTAATATGGAGAGAGGGGCGGAGGTCACGAGGCTTCAAGGAGGGGGGACAAAATGTCCACATGTGCATGGGTTGGTGGTCTTGGACTGAAAAGGCACGGATTCCTGGAGCATATGCAGGGCATCTTGGATTAAATAAATGCCTTGGACAGGCCTTGGTCGGGTTGGAGGTAGTGGGGGACAAGGCACAACATAAACAATTGCAAATGGCCCCTCCACTCACATTTAAATAATCCCTAATGCCCATGTGACATCCTTAATCATTTCTTAGGGCATCCTAAGCTGAATTAGTCCTTAATCCACCCCTTAACACACGCATGAAGTTGGGCCCTGGAGAAGTGGGCCGAAATTTATGGATTTGGGCTTAAGAAGACGTACATAAACTGAATAAAATACAGATGATCATAAATCGAGGACATAAAAATGCTGGTAAAATATGTCCGACTCTCATGACCACGTTGCGCCACATCTGTGCTCATCCGACACGCTCGATTCCGTCTCCTGAAAAACACAATGGGGGCGTGAGCAAACCACTATGCTCCGCAAAGACCAATACTGAACAAAACATCATCTATAATAACGTATCATGAAACATAAATATATAAGAGCTGAAACTGTAAACTGATCTCTGATGTCTGTTCTGATCTGTGGTCAAAAGACCCTCGGCCTTAGCCACTCGTGTG